GAAACCCAATTTTCAAATAGGAAATTGGCCTTTTATCTTTGGTACTTGCTACATAATGTTGCAGAGCATTAGTCAGCTGAACCTCACCGTGGTTTATTGTGCAGTTATAAATCGTAATTGGCTGACTAACCTTCTCTGATGTTAAGTGCTTTAAAAGGTTGGTTTTTGCTTTGTTGTATTTTAGTTTTTGTTTATGGCTTTATGTGTTCTTTCTGTTTATTCTGCTACTAAAATGTAATTAGAAATTGAAAAGAACAAAGCAAAACCTCCAAGCCTACTGATGTAGATTAACATGAATCATTGTCTCTTGAAAGTGTGTGTAAGCCAAAGCTCTGCAACCTGATATACATCCCCTTCATTTGGTAAATATTTAAAATATCCACAGACATTTTTTCACATTCTTGAGCATAGACCACATCACAATGTGTTCACCCTTGTTTCTGTTTTTAAGTATCGATGTTTTGAAGCCAGGGTTTATTTAGTTAAATGTTTTTCTTTTTCTTTTGTAATTTCTAGTATTTGTTGTACTATACAAAACCAAGTATAAAGGAATAGAGAAAAATCTACCAATTTATTTGCCTTTTAATAATCAAAATGAATATATTAGAAAGAAAATGTAAGCAACTTTAAATAGTGCCGAAGGCTGTAGTCTTTGAGAATAGTTGAATTGGAAGGTTTAGATAATGAACAGAGTTGATGATGCCTGTAATAAAGTGGATTAGCTGTTGCAAATTGTGTTATACCATGTATCTTTACATAGCTAATCTCCCATGTTTGCAATTTTGGTCATACGTTCTTGGGGAGCACCCAGATAGAGTATAGTTCTCCAAAGAGTGTTGTAAATGCTGACACTTCCCAATATAATTTTTGAAGAAGAAAAGAGAAAAATCTTCATAGCTTTTCCTCTGGGTCGTGTGGTACTGCCCCATTAGCTGTCATTAGTTCCTGCCCTCAAGTAGTAAATACTGACTTCTTTGTCTTTTGGTAGCAGCTCTTTTTCTTTGCTTTCCAGGTTGGACTTCTGTTAGGTACTCTTTACAGCTTCCGTAGAGTTGTCTTTCATGTGAATAAAGCAAATTCTGAGACCAGTGCAAGCATATGTTCTTCCTCCAAATTATATTAAGCTAAAAATGTGCTGTTCTGTGGATTATGTTTTCGGTATCATCAGGGCACCAGCTCTGACAGTGGCAGCACTGGTGGGCCCGCGTGTTGGGTGATGCTGATCTCCGAGGACTGTTGGCATCAAGTAGGGTGTGCAGGGGCTGTCATGGGAGAGCAGGGCCTCCAGGAAGGACAAGCAGCTCACCAGGCCATCCGTGCACGGGAGACCCTTTGTGGGAGCCTCTCATCCCGGTCAGGACAGGCAACACATCCCTCTTTCCCTGCCTCCAGCAACAGCAAGGGTTGTTCTGTTGGCAGCTAGGGACTGGAACCTTCAGTGGCACTCAAGATTTTTTCCTTTAACTAGACCTTAACTGATAACCTGGTCTGATACTGGCATACTTGCTTATTTTGAGAAATGTTTTCTATCTGTTTTTCTTCACATATGAGGTGTCCTTCCATGCAGTTCCCCACTGGCTTGAAATATCCTACCAAACTGGGACTGCAATTCTGATTGTGGAATGATATTTAAATTATGTTCTAGTAAAATAATGTGAATTATGGATTTTTATTTGGAATAAAACCTGTCAGTGTATACATGTGCAGATTCCTTAAGCAGCACAGGAGCTCCTTAAATACCATGAACTGTGCTTTGATTTATATCTAAGAGTAGACTAGAATGATGCTGATGTTTTTTTTACGGAACAAATGGCTTGACTTTCAAAATATGTCAAATTCAGTTGCTTGTGTTTGAAACAAGAACAGTCTTCGCAGTTAAGGGACTTGAAAAGCCTGGAATCAGTTCCCTGCTATTCTCCAGCACTTCTTGCATCTCCTTGGGGAGGTAGTTTAGGCTTTCAGTGTTCAAATCATCATCTCTAAAATGGGGATAATAAAGACTTTCCTAGTGCCTAGGAGTGTTGAGATGACAGATCGACTGATGGATCATTTATGGGTTCCAAGAGCACTTGTGATCCCCTCTGCAGCTGTAAACCTCAACCTTTCCCAAAATGCAGCTACCCACTGGACCTCTTCAGCCTGGATATATTCAGTGGATTATATCCTCATTAAAATGTTTTCCTGTGTAAATGTTTTAATGTGTGAATAATTTGGTTGCTGGGGTCAGTTTCCCCTGTCTTTTGTCAGATGGGGCTTGAAGTCATCAACAGTTCATGACTGTAGTTGTGGGGAAGAGAGCCCTTGCCGGGTGCCCTTTGAGGGTGTTTCCCTTTTTTGCAAGACTTTCCTCAGCTACCCTGGCTGAAGCTTGGCTTTGTGTCTCATGCTTTTGTGGAAGGTGGGTACGTTTTCTGTAGCAGATGGAATGTATGTGTTTTTTCACTCAGATGGGATCCCAAAGCACTTGCCAAGTGCTTTGATCCCCTTGCAAAGAGAAGCATTCTGTACAAGGTTGAGGCCGCTTTCAGGGATGCTTTAACCAATTGACATTGCCCCCTAATTTAGAGTAGGGGACTGAAAAGGGAACGTAATTTTGCAGACTCCAGACCATCAGGTTGGTATTATCAGCGATCTCTGTATCTCATTTCAAATCCAGTGCGTTTGCCATGCTGCAGTGCTGGGTCAATAAGGGCTATGAAGCATGAAGATCTGCATCATTTTCTGTGATTTCCTATGAATGTTTTTGTGTTTTCCTCTCATTCAAATTCCAACCCAGTGTTGCCCTGCTTAGTGCCATGTTACTCGGGGGTACTTTTTCTCCGAGCCTTCATGCACCAAAAAACCATGTCAGCTAGATTCTGTTTGTGAAGTCAATACATGTAAAGTGCAGCATTTTCATCATGAGTACAGGAGCCTGGAATTACTGTAGCTCAAGAAACATGGACTTCATGTGTATAAGCAATATACTTGCACTCTTTTAGGTCTTCCCCTGTAAATAAGCCTTTGGTTTTTGATATCTGTTGGGATGGTTGACCGCGGCTCAGGATTTCTGCATAGTCCACATTTATCTAACTGTGAAGGATGCTATTAGGCATCATAAAGAATTTGTGACAAACAGTGTGGCATTTGGAGCTACTACTAGTAGTCACTAACTAGTAGTATTTTGTCCTGCTGTAGTAGGGTTTTTTCCTCCCTCAGCTAGAAGGAGAATCGTAACCTTAACATTATTTAATTGGAGGCTTTTTAAGTTAATTAATTTAACTCTTCACTGCCTTTGGTAGCATGGTTTTATGAGTATTTTTAATTGACCTTATTCGTATGGAAATGCAATCTCACATTAATTTAACAAGATGGATTCAAGTCACTGGTCAACGCAGCTGTTCAATCAAGGATATTGCTCAGTGTTATTTATTGGGTTTGGTTTGAAGATTATGGCCACCCCAGAAGCAAAAAAGGAAAAGCAGGTACTGGTGGTGAAATCCTGTATTTGTAGGCAGGTTCACTGATGGTATTGTTAGCTTGGAATTGTACTGTCCCCAGCAAATAAATATGGCTTTCTTTTCTTTCCACTGAGTTTCACAAACACAAATAGAAATATGGAAAGGGGAAGGGGAGCTCTTAACCTGAGAATTTCAGACCAGTTGGATTTAAGCAAACCACCCATTTATTCTTAGATTAATGGCTTGCAGGCAGACTCTATCAGTTGCGGACTGTATTGTATTAATTTGCAATGGCAAGAGTTAATGCTAGTAATTGCTTTTCCTCTACAGAGAGAGCCTGTAGTAGATTGTTTTTACATCGCAATCTGTGATTGATAGATCAGGGAAAACAGGACCAAAGAAGGTTACTGCCTCCCAACCACTTCCCCCTTCAAATTAAAATAATTTGCAATTTGTAGGATGCCTTGTTGCACGTGCTGCGGGACTGAAGCAGTAAACGCACTAGGCTGCATTCCCTTAAAGCAGTGAACCTCTTATGGCATTTCTTTCACCAAACCAAACAAGTCATGTTGTTGGTAGTCCTTTGAAAACAAGCGTGCTGGTGAAACAGCCCCCAGACCCCTTCAGCAAACTTCCTGTACGGTCAGACAGCAGACCTGATGAAAGAGCCTGTTTGTGAACCTTTGGATTCCTTCCATTGATTTGTAAATCCACTTTAATAAAGTACTGCCGAAGCTAGTGAAATGAGCAACCGATGTTCGGCTTCCATCAAGTTTCTAACAAATATCTGGTACAGCTTGTATCACTGGCGCTGGCACATGCTTTTTAAAATTTATTTTCCGCTGCGTTGGATCATTTCGAGACTGGGGGAGTAGGGAAGTAGGGGGGGGGGAAACGCAGTCTCCATCAGCCACACATTACATGGCTGCTTTATTTTTCAGCGCTGCTAAAACTCAGCTTATTTAATATCGATCATACCAAGGAGCCAGCAAAGTACAGTGTTAATTGGGTCCACTGGAATTCTTGTCCCCTGGGAGGGAGAGCTTCCTAGGCAGGGAGGGCGGAGGGAGGGAGGGAGGGAGGGAAGGAGGGAGGCAGGCGGGGAGGAGGGGACCCACTGTGCGCCGCATAAAATCTAAGTGCACTAGACATCAAGGCTTCTGCTTGCATCGCTGGAAAGCAGTCGCGGCGTTTCCCACCCTCCCCCCCTTTCAGAAATCAGGCAACTAATTTTTTTTTCTCTTTTTTTTTTTTTTTAGTCCGCTAGTTCTTCTTGAATTAAGAGCTCCTTTCTTCTATTATTTTTCTTTCCTTTTTCTTTTCTTTTTTTTTTTTCCCCTTTGCGGAGGGCTTTTTTTTTTTTTATTGTTTTCTTCTCCTTTCTGCAAAGCTGCAAAAGCTCTGCTTTGAAAACTGCTGCCCCAGAGTGCAGTTGCTTAGCTGTCCTGTCAGCATTGTTCTAATGCTCATTCCATATGTATGTCACATAGGAGCAGTACCCTCCTCCTCTCCCTTCCCCCCTCCATGCATTTGATTTTTTTCCCTAAAGACTGATTTTTTTTTTATTTTTCCCAAGGATCTCACAAACAGGGAAATTCAAACTGAATGATTCTGTGCCGTGGTTACTTCTACAGCCAAGACCAGATTTCTCTTAGAAAAAGTGTTTGCTCTGTTCCTTCTTTTCCCCACTCCCTCTTTTTCTTCCCTATAAGCACAAAGGCTTTAAAAACTAAGATCTGTAGTTCTTTTTGCTTTTTCGCGTTACCGTGACAGCATGTATCTCTGTTGCTGAAGAATGAAGCAGGCAGGCTAGAGTTTTTTTTACGTTCAGTGCTTTTGGGACCACTAAAGAGAAGTCCACAGAGAAATATGTACAGCAACTGTGCCAACTGAGTTTCTCATGCCTGTTATCTGTCACTTATTCTGACTAAAAGGTAAGGGATTCTTTACTATTTTTGTTGAAGTCTTTGTGCATTGTTTGTGCAGTGTCATTTGACATGTGCAACTAACTGGCTCAGGAGGGAGGTGGGTTATGAAGATTTTTGTGTTAAGGTATTATAGGTCACCCAAGGAAAGCTCTTTGCACCAGAGGAGAAAAAAAATCTTGTTTATTGGAATTTATTCCCTTTCCATCTCAAATGGTTCCTCCAGCTTTACTTGCTACTGATTGAGACATAAAGCCAGGGCATTATCGCTGCTGCTTATCTTTTCTGGTCCTCTTTCTCTACCTAGGAAGCACACGCACCCAGTTTGGGTGTGCGTGCGCATGTGTGGGGTAAAGCATATCCCCTTTACATGGGAAATACTTGGCAACATGCACGTTCTCCTCTTTTACTGTAACTAAACGTCTTCAAGCACTCTTTGCAAGGTAAGAATGCCTTAGTTCAGCACACAGCAGCTTATGCCTGTTTAAAAGTATTACTTGGATTACAGTGCATACTGTGGAAAGTTATTAGTTTCCACAGAGACCAATTTAATTGGGGGTATGTGTGCAGCGGTTCTGTTTTGTGCTTTACATACGCTGCTTATGGGAGAGTATGAAATGTTATTTTTTTTCTATATTCTTGGGAAGGGTGAAGTTTACACTGTCTGTTAGGCATAACAAATGAAGTTATAGCTGAAATCGATTAAAGCTGCGGAGAAGCATAGCCTTACAAGGCTTTTCAACTTAGCCCTGAGAGTCAGAAAATAGTTTATGAAAATATTTTTTTGCACTGCATCGTAATATGCAGAAACGTTAGCGGGAAGGCATCTTCACCAAGCAGAGGTAGCAGCAAATGATGCCTAGACTGGATGATTGTATTGTTTATGTGTTAGAAACCTGTTTAATCCACAACCTTGGTGTGCACTGCTTTTGTGTGTGTGTGTGTGTGTGCGCGCTGGATGCATCTTTCAACAGCCTCTTAGTTCAAGAGGGCTTTGTTTTATAAAATGTGTTTCAGCTTTGCAGGCAGGAGAAGTGCACTCTGTAACTGTCCCCTTAGCTGTGCCATGGTCTGTTACTTGGCATTTTGGAAGAGGCTGACTTTTAGGGCTTGCTTTGGTTTCTTTCAGAGGTATTTGTGCTCTTACTTCTTAGCTGTTAGTTCTGTACATAGAAAAATGCATCTTAAGGGTGTTCATTTCTCATGCTTTGAAATGATTGGTGGCTGAGACAGTTGAGCAACCTCATTTAATAATAGCGTTTTACCTTGAATGTTGCCTTGCTTCCTTGAATAACTAGGAATGCCACCAAATATGTAATTAGTTTAAAAACAGTCTAAAAATGCAAAGTGTGAAGCAAGAGAGAAAAGTCCTGTCTGCAGGCATTAATTTCTTTCTTTACTGTAGCTGTTTATAATGTCATTTCAAAATCAGATATTTCCTAACACCTGCTCTGTGACTCTATTTTCCCATGATTGTTGCTTTATATCAGCACTGAGAAAACAGTCATTTAGATAACAGGTTTTCATTGACATCCTTTTTATAATATAGAAAGGAAGAAGCAGTAATAAGTTAAATTGGCATCTGCTAATTATGCTGAATACAGATTGTGAGCTCTGCAAGTCGTCCCTTGCCTTAATGCTGTTAGCATATTTTAGCACTGGCAACCAAAGGAAAGAAACTTGAATGTTCCTGCTTGTTTTT